AATAAAAATTACGTATCTTTTCCGTAATTCCGGAGCGAAATGTGGTTATAGGAAATTTTACGGAACTGTCACGAAATTTTTCCGGAGCGTTCTGTAATTTTTATCTAAATCTCTTGTGAAAAATTACGATACCGTCACTTAAATTTTCTGAGTCGATTCCATAATCGGTGAGTGAAGTGAGAGTTCCGCAATTTTTACTGAACATTTCTCACCGTGTGGAATTCAAATAGCAGCACGAAGGAACAGTGTACCTCGAACATCTGAGGAATCCGGTTCCGGTTTTTTTTTTCTCTAAATTTTAATTCTATTTGAATTTATTTAATGCCTAAAGGTGGTTAGGCGACGTGCTGAGTTGAATTTGGAGCGAGAGAGTTTCCGTGGTTCCCGGTAGCTTAGTTGGAAGAGTGCCCGGCGCGTAACTGGGAGACTCGGGTTCGAATCCCGGCTGAGCGGATCGGGATTTTTTCTCTCTAAATTTTAATTCTATTTGAATTTTTTTAATTTTCGAATCACGAATGACCCGCAAAACCGAATAAATTCATCAAATATATATATACCACGGTCGATAAAATCATGAAAACTGTAATAAATTGAAATAATATTACCAGAAATGGGGCGACAGCTCAGTGGTGGAGTATTGGACAGTTTTTAATATTATCAAGATTTCATCAAGGGTTTTTTTCCCAACCGTTTTCCCTAAAAACTTTTAAGTCCAAACCAATAGTGGTTGTCTGAGTGTCTCCGCACCAACCTAATATAAAATTCTTTTTTACATACTATCAACTAACGTTCTAAAACTCTTCAGTAATACTAAGATCCTGAGATCTTAGTTCTCTGCTTGGCACATGTTTCGAAGCTTTCAAACCAAAAAATAATTTTTGAATGTATTTTTTGTAACAGTTTATTATACTTATAAGGTCGAGATGTATCCTTGGTTGAATGAGAATATAGTTTGTTACAAAAAAATAGAGTATTTTTTTTTCTTTATTCTATTTCCTAAGTTATTTTGATATTCCATCATTATTTTAGTGTTCTGCTGACCTCCTCATTGGGTAGCTGAGCCGGACCAGATTGGGATTACCTAATAAGGATCCGACATCCCCCTCGAGCGGACCCTGTCGGGACCTCACATGAAACCGATGAAAATTTTATTCAGGAGATATGACTCTTGCGACGTTTAAACCTCGCGAGGAAAAATTGGAGATCGTTGTTCGACACTTCAACATGCTACATGCCTTCGCCTGCGGTCACCAAAGTCTACAACCTTTCTGGTAAATAACTTCTTTTACATGTCGAAAACTAGGTAAATTGCCAGTGGTATTTTACTCGTCTAACCTTGCTAACAGCTAGGAGCCTGCGTAGTATCACATTTAAAGACCCACATAAATACACCTCAGATACCATTAGAATCACCAAGAACTATCGATCCCCTACTGCGCACAACTCCATTATCAAAGCCGAAAGGAAAACCCCAGGCAAGAAGTAAAAGTTAAGAGGGTGAGAAGAATACCTAATAGCCGAGAAAGTGTCGTAAATGACGGGAGGCATTCTCTTCATTTATTACCCTATTTCTCGTCTGTAGTTGAATGATGTATAGTCCAACGTGTTTTTGGCATTTTCAATTGCTCGTCCCTCCTCTCCTTTTTCCACAATTTGATACCACGACACAATAGTTCGAAGATGCGGAAGGGCATCGAATGAGGTACAACAATGGGAGTAGTGCTGCCGCTTTGTGGGTGTAAATTGCAATAAGAAAACAATGAAAGCTTCGCTGATTGTGCTTTTTGCCCAACCGCGATAATAAATTGTGGCTGGACAAATGTGAGATTCCACCACTGGCAATGTCCGGGGTTTTCTCCAAGGGAATGGATGATTGTTTTCGTTGTCAATTGTTATTATCCAGGGGAATGAATCCATTTATCCACGTGTAATATCTGCGTTTTTCTTGTTGCAATGGTTCTTTTCAGGCTAATGACTGACGTCAAATTTTGAAATTACTTGGTTGACACAAAGAAGTTGACTTCATCTGTACTTCTCGTGTTTACCCAGCGAACTTTGTTCATAATCGGTGGCAAAGTTTTAAGCACAATCGATGATGAGTTTCGTAGTTTTGGAAAGCTGCCATTATATGTGTTCAACAGTCGAGAATCAAGACCACATCCAGCTTTGCACAGCTGTAGAAGGGAAACTATGAAACTTGAATGCTAATCCCGATGAAAAATTTCGTACCACTCGAAGTACATTATCAAGTAATACTTCACCACGTATCGGGCCCGGAAGATAAAGAATAAAATGCTAGAGAGGACGATTGCGAGCTCAAAAAGTAGACTTGACTGATGAACGATGGAGTAAAGCATTTATTGGCCAAATAAAGATGGAATATCTCTCAGTCAATGAAATAAATGGTAATCGTCAGAGGAGATAAGATATTTCCAGTAATCCCATGAGGTCCGGAAATACTAACATCATGTATCTATTAATATGAACACCCTCAGCCTCCCAGTGAGCTGATGTATTGAACTCGACCCTCGTTCCCTGTTGAACAGGGGCCTGGATAGGAGATTAAATTGAAACGAATAATTTATAGTTTCGGCACTCCTGCATTGGAGGCCAACGGGACTATAGAATCAAATATTTCCGTCTATTTGTCTTTCTCCAACGCATCCATAAACAAAGGTTTACATCAAGTTTAGCTTTCTGTTTTGGTAATGTGCCTTCTTTTCCTTTCTGCATAATTGCGAATGTATATTGAGTGGATTATCAATTTTACTTGAAACTTAAAGCACTTGATATTGGTGGTTCATTACAGTTCGTGTTTTCATTATTTTTCTATCAAATTCATCTGTAATTAGTTTTTGTGTGGATATAAGAAATGTTCATTTCACGTACACCTAAATAAAACCTCGCTTTTCTTCTGGTTGTCTTTGACCTAGGAGAAATCCAAACTCGCGATCGACTTGCTAAGAAATTGTCGTGCGAACTTACACATTATGGCGATCGTCATTGTAAAGCAGATTCTACAGTTAACGCAACGCAGGCTTGACGCAGCACTTGAAATTGTTCAAAACAGTTGGTTACCTGTTTTTCGATTATTTTGACAATTGCACGCGTTGCACGCGAAAAGTCGGGAAAAAATTCTAGTGCTCAACAGAAACTCGAATAGAAATTCGAGATGAGCACGGGAATTTTTACTGTAAGTTCATTAATTTTTGCAAGGGAATACGAGAAAAATTCCAGAGCTAGTATTAGGAAATTTCCGGATGTGTCAATTTAGTAAGGAATTCAGAAGAAAATTGGGTGAAAAATTTTCTAAATTCTTGGGAACATTAGGAATTTTATTGTGAAGTCAGGAAAATTTTCCGCTGCTAGCATTGTAATTTTTCACATTCTTCCTATCCTCGTACGTGTCCGCTCGTCATCGGCAACGTTTGGCATGCCGAACTGAGCCGAGCAGCTACACTCGGAAGTCCCGAGTTGGGACTTACAGATGACGTCTCCATGTGAACGTCGGGTAACGTTAGCAAAAATTAAGAATTGAGAGGGTGTGTGAAAAGCAAATGTGTGAAATGGACCCGTCTCGGAAATTGCTAAAAATTGGTGACATTATTTAGTGGTAATGTTTTAAATTAATGTAAAGTTACTCGAAGTAATCATCGAATCGATTCAATAAAAAAAAACCTATAAAAACCGATAAAAATAATGAGTTTAGTGCAATTCTCATCTCCATTCATGGTATCGTATATTAATTTGAATAACAATGAACAAAATTATCAATCAGTAATTTAAAAAAAATCGAAAATTTCGGCCGGTGGAAAATTGTGTGTCTGTGAACTAATTTTTTGTTTGCCTATAAAGATTTCGTGCTGACAACGACAAATTTTCTAGTGCCGACGAGAAAATTTTCATGTATTGTCATATTGCGCTTCGATCCTCGTACAGCACTAGAATTTTTTCCAGAATTTCCCCACAAAAATTCTCCGACTTTTCTCTTCGTGCACTTACTGCAGCCACGCTACAGGTTCAATCCCCGCATTTTGGTCTTCTCGCAGACGTGAGTTACAACAGTGATGCAAGGGTTCATGAGCGTAAATGGAAAAGTTACCGTAATCTCCAATAGTAATGAGAGAATTACCAAAACTTGGAACACGTAAATTCATAAAACATAAATAAAATATATTTTAACACCTTGGGAAGTTCTTCGTGATAAAAATGAAAATACGGTTGAGGTTTGGGCAGTTTTCTACAGCACTACTTTTCCTTGAAGAAGGATCTGGTTGTCGAATCGATTCAAGAACTTTCTTCAACTTGAAATAAGTAGGTTTTTGGTTCTATTGCTTCGGAATTTTTCTTCGTAAATTAAGTTTGATATTAATAGAAAATTCGTGCCCTTCAAATCTTTGAATGAGCACCTGAAAGAACCCATTCTAACATGCACCAGCTACCCTAATCAGTTTCTTACTTTCATCGTTACTATAATGCTTTCTACAAGAATCAGTTTTCTTGAAATTAGTGGCTTGGTTCCACAAACTAGAAACGTTTTCTTTCTGTATAATCGCTAGCGAAGCAAGTGGCCAGCCAGTATTAGAAACTTCATTCGTCACGAATCATTTAACATTTGAAATATTCGCACATTTTAAATTTCAAGTAATTGTCACGGGAGCAGACTGAGACGGCAGTCTCTGAAACAGCTCCATAGAATTTCTAATGCGAACACTAGAGAGGAAAAAGGAAAAGTTCCATTGAGACTCATAGCAATACAATTTAATGCAGCCTCAGAGGCCAGCGAGAAAATCTCGAATGAGATTCCCGTTCCTAATGGGAATATTGCACTCCGTTGTCACAACACATGCCAAAAGTTCGATGATCCTTCACCCATACTACTCCTAAAGCTTCCTCGGGCTCAACGTACGAGACTGATAAAGTGAAAGCCGTGGGGTATATGAGTGAGATGTATAAAAACAGCAAGAGGGGGAGGTAGGGGTTTATGTGGAATTACTCACCTACTACTGTTGACGGAGGTGTTGCTCCTGCTGCGTCGCGAGATAATGGAGTCCCCACGGTTGACAACGCCCTTGTGGGTGATACTGAATGCCCTGAGTCTGTACAAATCATCACCAGCACGTGGGTTGTACGCTTTCTCTGGGAGACTGTAGACTCTTGGCCTTACGTGATCTGGAACTGCCCGACAACACTCAATATCAGTGATGCATTCATTTTGAATGATATGATCGTTTCGGTACTCTAGTCGTTGAGGTTCAGAAACAAATATTGCAAAATATGATGGATTCACGAGACGGGTATCAAGCGCTCAATACCACCATATGTCGAGAAATCCAACAAAAATCCCAAGCACTCTCTGTATATACTATCGGAAATTACGGAGATGAATAGAAAATCAATCATAGATAGACAAAGTTTTGATCTGCACGAATATGTCACTGATTTCCAGGGATATGTTACTGATTTTGAGAAATATATCACTAATTATTGGTGATATTAGACACTGATTGGAATAATTCTGATAGGTACGGATTTCCGTCACTGAAATTTGGTAGTAGATTCCTAAAGATCAGAGATGAGTCTGTGAACATGAGTAAAGTTTCTGTCAAAATCCCAGGTCCCATTTTCCTCTTCGTGAGGTATAAAACGGGAGACTCTTAATTGTTTCTCTGCATGTACGATCGATCGAGTTTCAAATCGGCCTAGAATTGGTATGCCAAGCCTTGGCGACCCACTCACGGCCAAGTATCGGCTTTGGACTGGCATGCCAAGTCTCGGCGACTCCTTCACGGCCAAGTGTCGGCTGAACGTCAAATGACCATTCGTCGAATACCAAGTCTCGGCCAATAATTGGATAAATTTCGGACGCCGAGACTTGATAAGAGTCAAACAGGAAAGACGAGTTAACCAATTCCAAGGGTCAAAGCCTCATTAATGTCAAAGTCTAGCAGGGAAGACGAGCGCAATAATGTAAAAGGTCAACATGGTGTCACGAGAGTCACAAGGGTCATAAGGGTCAAACAGGGGTAATAGCACACGTACTTGTAAGGGTTAGAGGCTTTTATAAAAGGTCGAATGTCATAGGCGTCGAATGGGTCATACAGGAAAACGTATAAACAGATGCTAAGGTTCAAACTCGAGACCTGAATACTGTAATCTTATTATTTGTTAATCATAAATAAATAGGCTGTTTACCATATATATATTGAGTTTCATAATTAAAAAAAATTAAATAATAATTAAAGAATACCATATTTTATTCATATAGGCGATAAAGTTCTTCGTAACTAACAACTCTACAGTGGCCGAGGGGGTAAAGTCAAGGACTAGCAACCCGAAGGTTCGAGAATCGAATCCCGCCCGACTAGAAATTTTACTCGGCAAACCCTTCGGCCCTGCTGCGGCATGCCGAGTCTGCCGTTCGGCGCTGGTGTGGTCAACCGAGTCCGGCCCAGATGATGCGCGTTACGCGAGTTTCACGTTCGGGCCGGATCATGGTTGCCGTATTCAAGCCAAGTCGTGGGGGCCAATTAAAATTATTATTAATCTTATTGGTAATTTATCATCAATTATTGTTCATTCAATCGCCACTCTCAAAATTATTCCGAAAATTTTTAAATGACACCGGTTCAATAATTTTATATATATGTACACATGGATGATTCAACTATCCACGATCATTATTAATAATGTAAAAAAAAGAAAATAATTATATGCTATCAAAATTGATCATCTGTTATTTATCACTCTTGACTCCCTAACGTATTTATCGCTGAGAAACCGATTTTTTTAGCCTAAAATATTCCACCCATGACTGGTTTCGAACCCGGGACCTACAGATTACTAATCCTACGCCTTAGCCAACTAGCCTACCGCGCTATTCGTGCATTTTGAAATTCGTACTGTCTACCCGAGTGGAAATTCTGGTCAGGTCTTGATCAAGTTTGGATCGGGTTAGGCCTGACCACTGATCAGGTATTGATCAAGTTGACGGACCCGATCTTGATCAGATATATTACGCCTCTGACCAATCCGGATTTAATCAGGACGAATGGATCCGAACTTGATCAAGTCAACTGTATGAAAACCGGATGACCTGTCTGTCTGTGTCAATAACAATTATCAATGATAACTAATACAAAACAAAAGATGATTAAATTCTTTCACCGTAAGCCGCCTCTCTTAATGAACCTCTACTGTTATTACCTCTGAAAAAGCTTATTATTTTTTTACCGATGCTGGGGATCGAACCGGGGACCCTATGATTACTAATCCTATGCCCTAACCACTACGCTATCGCGCTATTACTATTGAGTTAACTGTACATTGCCTATATAATTTGTATCGGGGTATTCGTTGAATTTACGATTATTCCTAATCTCGCGGATGTGCGTGCATATTCTCCGAGATAAAATATGTTCAATTAAATTTTTATTTATTTCATTAATGAATAATAATAATGATAATAACAATAACTCTAATAAATAAATAGACATTTGGTGATTTTTTTGTCAAGATCATTTGCGTGTAAATTTGATACTCCTCTAATACGTATTTACGACATCATCATCCCTCCCTTCTGTACATTTGAGAAGGGCTGGCTGTTAATTAAATTGATGAATTAACTTAAATTTATTAAATTAAATTAATGTAATTTAATTTATTTTAATTATAGTATAATGATGATTTTAAAAATTGAAAATAATTATTGATAATGTTTGATAAAACTTGATTTGAATAGTATAATAATAGTTCATTAAATTATCCGAAAAACTTATTACAATTAATGTCAGGTGGACCGGATCGGAATCTGATCATTTTCTCTTCAATTGACCCCGTTCAAATGCCGATCAGGGTGAGATCGTGCCTACCTGATCAGAACTTGATCTGAATCATCTTGCTCTTTTTTGGATCCGATCTACTGGATCAAAACTTGGTCAGGTTCTCATCAGGAATCACCGGAGCAGTCGAACCTTACAAAAACTTGATCAAGTTCTGATCGTGCTTCAGGTGGGCCTGAAGCAATTTCCACTCAGGACTGTCCGTAAAACGTCGTTTTACGGACACTTCGTGTGTTTCAAACGCCGTTTATGGACATGAAGATAAATTATGTGCGTCACTCGGTCAAAAACAACTTTTCTAACTCGTGTGATTGCATTCCTCGGCTTTGTCTCGGTCTGCAAACTTCACTCTCGTCAGAAAAGTTTTTTTCGGCTTTGTGACGAAAATAGCTATTTTACTCGAAAGTTCAGTTTCCTACGAATGTGATCTGTTAGATGACGTTATATAAAAAAAACACTGAACTCATTTGTTTCATTGAAAAAGGGAAAAATCAGAGGGGTTTCATTTTACCCCATTGTTTATTTTGCTCCACAGTGTCATTCTGCCTCGGTCACCCCTATAATGGGGTTATATGCTGTTATTTTGCAATCATGACAGTACATCACCTGATTTAAAGATGAAATCTTTTATTTTTCTCTTCAATTTCCATCAAATCGGGGAAGAAAACGAATATGAGAATTACTCTCTTTATGGTTCTGATTTTAGGTATTCTTTTCTTCTTTGAATATATTCTTGTCTATCGTGGTGACAAATATTATTGTTTTACATTATTTTTGCTGACTTTATTATTGAACTGCAAATAATCCAACCTGTTATCTTCTATTTATTGAGGTATACACATTGATTCTTTCCTCTTGCATATAGGAAATGAGGAAAGAGGCAGAAAATGGGTTCATGTGCGTGGTAGAAACTGCAATTGATGCCTGTGAGCATAACAGAATGGCGAGGTTCAGGCGATTCTTTTGCAAAGTTTTATTAATTAATTCTCCCATTTAATAAATAAAGAAATAAATGCAGAAAAATCATAAGAATAATCATTCTATTTAGCTGTCTTCCCCACATTTCGGATTTATGATCAAGAAAAATATTTATCGAATTTCAGATCGATCTCAAGTTTTTACGAGAGCAAAAACTGGGTCGATTACATTATCTGTATTTTACTGATTTTACCTTCTTGCTTCCGAATGCAAGCCTTATGATCGGTTATTTTTACGATCTTCTAATTTTGCTTGGAAATGATGTAGAATGCCATGAAACATGAAGATATGATGTTTTTAAAAAATGTGTGTATGTATGTCCATATGTCTGTGGGTAGATTTTTGGAAATTTTTTATAAATCTCAATTATCAATAACTCTCAGACAAGTAAAGTTGCAGTTATAAATCTGAAATTTTATCACATAATTGCTATCATTTGGGAGCAGCTCTGAGCGCAGTTTCAGAGCAATTGGTGAAGTCGTTTTTGAGATACAGCAATTTCTCAAAAATAGTTTTTCCTCAATATCTCAAATACCACGTGACTTAAATGAAATTTCTACATCAAAGGGTTCCTTGTGATAATATCTATCAAGTCATAATATCCCTACGAAACTAGAAACAGTTTGATGATAATTGGCATTTTTCACACAGAGAAAAAAAAATGTTAATTCATGATTTTTATTCTAGATTCTAGAATCTGCAGTTCAGAACTTGCATCCGGCTAAAATCTAGAAAAAAAAATTAATTTCAGAAAATAAATAAATGAAATTAATCAACCAAAAAATGATGGTTTCAAGGTAAAAATATTCTGGAATCTATCGAATTAGGGGATTAAGTTCCCCTCATTAGCACATTTTCAAAATGAAAGGCATTTTGGACATTTTGGATTGAACCTTTCAAAAAGTGGAAAAAAATTGTTCTAAAAGGTTGGGCTCAGACGATTCAGCATCATCTGAAACGTGCAGATTCATTATCCCCTAAAGAATAGTATATTTCTAACCTAGGGAGGAAAAATAAAGGAACCTCAGCCGCCAGTGCAATTACCAGCCGAGCCGAAGGCGAGGTTGATAAGCACGCGGCTGAGGGTCCTTTATTTTACTTCCCGTGGTTAGAACGCGATTTTCCGTCTCGGCGTAAGCGCAAAGTCAGAGTTCCCCCCCGCTTCGCGGGAGGGAAATGTAGCTCTGCGCCCGACGGGACGGAAACATTTTTTTTTTACTTTTTGGCCCAATTTCAAATTCTCAAATTCCCTTTAAAAAATAAAAAAAAATTGTCCTCAAAAGTTGGGCTCAGATGATTCAGAATCATCTGAAACGTGCAGATTCACTATCCTCTAAAGTGGGTAATTCGCGTGAGTTG